TTTGTTTACAGAATATTTGTATGTGTACTGTGTATATTTATTATGTATATATAAATACACACACATGCATGTATATATTTCAGGAAAATGTTATTTTATATATTAAATATATTTATTTATAATATAAATTATATGAATATAAATATAGACATGTAAATACATGTAAATATTTTCAAAATATATACTCTATGTTTGTGTATTTATATATACATAATAAATATACACCGAACACACGCATATACTATGTAAACAAAAACTTTTATTTTGGATGCGATTAATCGCGATTAATCGTTTGACAGCATACTTAAAACAATAAATTGTCAATAAATTCAATATGGTTTTATAAACCATATACCTTTATTTTTGTGCTATTTGATTAATTTGTTTCTGAACATCTGCTTGTGGATTATTGTTAAAATGTTTAAAATGATCATTACACAGCAAATGAACATGCATATCTTATTGATCTTTTACTGGTATTTATCAAATTATGCATCTGTTGGAACAAATTTAGTTTCCAAAAGCCGGCATTTGTTGTTTTCTGGTCATTAAATCATGCATGTCCACTTTTACCTGTGGACAAATAGCAACAAATGATTTGTTGTGTTGATGTTTTATATGCTTACGTGTTTTATATACATGACTTTTTACAGTATTTTCCATGTTATTTTGCTATACTTGTACTTTGTTATATATATAGTTTCTGTAATGAGTTCCACATTATTACATTAATTATTTACCAGACGCTTTTATGATCCAAAGGAATTTACAAGATGGGAGTACAGCCTACAACGTAAGTGATTCATAATCACAATGAAGTTATGACTTCAATGCGTTATAGTGCAAACCCTCATAAAAATTCTAGACGAGGCATTTGAGTTCAGAGAGTGACCCTGGAGCACAAAAGCAGTCTTAAGGGGAGCTCTGCAGGCAAAAACACTGTTTTTTCATGCACCTGTCAAGTTTGAGATTTTGGGCTTTTTGGTTTTTCATAAAGTGTTTTTAAGACTAGTGGAAAACATCCAAAAGACACTGTTAAGTGTTTCTTTTATAGCACTTTATCTATTTGTGTCAATAGATTTCAATTACAATACATATTTTTAAAAGCCGTTTACTCAAAATGAGTTTTTTCTCCTACACTGAGCCATAAATCTCCACTTCAGTAGCACTTACACACACCAAACCTTACATTTTTATTCCTGTCTATATTCTGAATGTTTTTACAGAGGGATTTGTTCATATATAATTTGCTTGATTATATACAACATTTTTAATCACCTAAAAATTGTGAAAATATAGTGTTTTCTGTCCTTTCTAAGCATTTTCTGAATTATGGAGTGACAAAAATGAGATACCCAAAATTCCCTCTGTAAAAACTTTTGACTCTTAATATGTCAAAAAAATTAAACAAGAATTTGGAAACTGACATCATCCAGTGTTTAGATTTTTGTACTAGAAATGTATGCAAATTAGCGCATATTTCATTAAATAATGCCTCATTTGCATATCTAAACCTAACATTTTAGAAAACTTGTAATACAAAAAAATGTTTACAATTATCAATGTAATCAATCAGCTGGGTAAGTACGGCGATAACTATTAGTTCTTTTTTTTACCCTATTCACCTGCAGTGTCTCGCCTTTAGTCGCTGGGGTATATTTGTAGCAATAGCCAAAAATGCATTGTATGGGTCAAAATTATTGATTTTTCTTTTATGCCAAAAATCATTATGATATTAAGTAAAGATCATGTTCCATGAAGATATTTTGTAAATTTCCTACTGTAAATATATCAGCACTTAATTTTTGATTAGTAATATGCATTGCTAAGAACTTCATTTGGACAACTTTAAAGATGATTTTCTCAATATTTAGATTTTTTTGCATCCTCAGATTCCAGATTTTCAGCCAAATATTGTCCTATCCTAACAAACCATACATCAATGGAAAGCTTATTTATTCAGCTTTCAGATGATGTATACATCTCAATTTAAAAATATTGACCCTTATGACAGGTTTTGTGGTCCAGGGTGTCTTTATTGAGGAATCCCAGTGTCTGCATGTGACAAAGTGAGTTTTCATGTGTTTGATTGTTTGGAGGACACAAACCCCCATAACTAAAAATGAGTCTCATCTGGTCAGACGAGAAGCTCCTGCCAACAATATCTGTCTTCTAATATATACGAATGTAAACATAAAACAGAATGCTGA